AAAAAAAAAAAAAAAAAACCGAAGAGTCGTTTTTGATAACTGTCACTTATTTCCTTTTGTTTGTTGCTATTATTATAATGTACGAAATTTAGTGGGATTTTCTCTTTCTCATTTATATACACCACTTTATTGAAATTATTTTCAGTTTGTTGTCGGCTTTCTTTTCGTCCACAAATTATAGCTCAGTTGACTGATTGTCGTATTAGCAGATATTTGTTAGTACTTAGAAGCCTTTACTTCTGGATCTGTTCAACTGGTACAGGATTTAAGTGATCTTTGATAGTGTATCAAATTCAGTAATGGGTCGTCCACGAAGATCATTACATTTGGTCGGATCACGCCGCAAACAAATTCGTGTTTTAAATCGAGCAGCAGCACAGGTTGCTTGTTTTCTAGATCTGCAAGAAAAAAAAAAAGAACATAGACTGTTTATTTAGTTTTATCATAAAAGGCTGATACACGGTTCTTAGCTACGGTAGTCAAGGTAATCAGCAGAGAAGTTTTAAAATTTAAGATATAATAATTCTGGTTTTTTATTTTTATTTTATTTATTTATTTTTTTTTTTTTTGCTTTGTAGCTAATTCTAGTTTTAGGGCCATAGTCACGATAAAAGAGGCGAATTTCACGTCGCGTAAGTGGCTGCCTTGCAACTGCAGTATTTGTTTCATTGTCTGGCTTGAAAGTTTTAAACTCAAATGAGCTTGGCTTTTTTTACACCCGGTTCTAAAATACTTTTTAATTGACCAGGCGAGTACAGTAATAGCAGCTGCGCCGCATATACTGTAATTAATTTCATCCACTTGTTTTCAGAATCCTTTATTATACGCCATGTGATTATATAAATTATAAGCCTACTGGTTATAAGCTGTACTTTCGGGACTTCTCGTCATGCAGGTTAGCTTACATCATGTGTACTTAAGGGTCTAAATTTTACAATGATTAATTCGACATTAACATTACAGTAACAATGGAACACCCACAGGAATTGAACTGATAGAGTTTCGGGACAACTGCTCAAGAGACACCTGCCTTCACGGGTTAGAATGATTATATTTAGTATCCTTCAAGAAGCTTTAATAAGTCAGAAGAAACTCACTTCTGTGGAAGTGTGACGACAAGACTTTCTTGCAGGGGCTTTTATCGTCACGCAAACTCAAATCTTTGCATCGTAACTGATACAGAAATTTCGCCTGACCCAGCCTTTCTCAGGTAACTATATAACTTTACAGTTTTTTCACTGACAGTTATCTGAAAAATTACGAACAGAAAATTTCAGGCTTTTTCAATTCCGATTGACAGTTGATGCCAAAGAACTTGGATACGAAGACTACACTTTTGTTCGCCGTTTGGCATCATTACTCCAACCACAAAACCTTGAGTTTTGTGCTTCATATTATTACGGCGATATAACCGAGTTTGAGTTTGTTAGCGTAAGCATTTCACTAAATAAGCATTTGTTTGGTCGGGAGTTGCCTGAGTACGGGAGTTACTTCACGACATTCGTGCGTCGTCCCTGACTTTAACTCTTTGAAGACTCACTTGTTCAACCCAATTAAAGTTCAGAACCATGTGCTGCTTCAGTGAACACCCACCAGAAAAATGCTACTTTGCAGGGTAGTTTTGTTGGTCTGAAACCCGATACAGTCGGGACTATCATTGATGACTACTGGACGGTGATCAGAGATGCAGAGCATGGGAATGAAAAAAGTTTTGAGAACCAGAAGTCATTAATCAAATATTCGTTTGAGAATGTTGAAGGTTCTTTTGAAGTGGAACTTCCTGAGCTTAGTGAGGATACAGCAGTTGAAATTATAAAGTATGCTGTTCAGGTATGTCTTCACAGTTCAGGCAATGTAAGTCAACACTGTCTGTCAGGTTACGTTGATTCTGCAACAATTTCTAGGTAGCATTTAATTGAATTACTTATACCATACTACAGCGGTGCAAATCAGATAGGGTTAAGAAGTATCTGGTGTGAAAGTTTTCTGCTCAATTTCAAAAGTGCTTTCGTGCTTGACGAAACATTTTTTCAAGGAGGTTGTGCTGCAACCTAACTTTACTACTCTTTGATTCAGGAAAAAAAACTTTATTAGACGCTGCCGTGTGACTTTATCTGTCTGCCAGTTTTATTTTGAGTGGCCGGCAAATTGCCCATAAAGTTATTCGTCGTTTAATTTACACTTTTAGGTCTTCTCAACATCTAGAAACCTTCCGCGAAAAGCCCGGATATCGTCGTTTTTAGCCAGTCCTGTTAAAGATGCCCTGCCCGTTATTGCCCGCAGGTTGAGCTCGCCGCTTATTAAGATCAACGTCCATAGGGAGCGCTTTTCATTGAGATTTCAACGCAGAGCGAATCGCTTCCTCAGGGCTTAACTTTCGGATGTTTTTAATTTTAATCGCTAAAAACTAATCTTATTTTTTGCCAGAAATGCCAGTGAAATTCCCTTGAAACAGTTTCACTGAAGGTTGGATGGATTCATTGTCATATTTTCTTACTATTCCAAACTACCACACTTATGGGTTATAGACATTGATCTTCGCTTTTACAGTATAAATTATGCCCTGTCAACTTCTCGTTTTACCACTTTAGTTTTGACGTTTTAACAGCTTCTATGTGAAAGCATCATCATTTGTCTGCGGTCCAGTAGTCTCACAAAGAACTTCATCTACAAATAAATTCACATCTACTGGCTTCGTTATCTTTGTTCAGTAGCCGTGCCCCTTCAATTGTTGGTAAGCTTCGAATTTTGAAGCTTGTGAAGTTTTACAAACAGGAAATTTGATATCACCTCAGCGTAACTTGAATCCCATGTTAAAATATTTGAAGCCATCCCAAACAATCAAGTTCTTTAGAAGGGTTGGCATGTTGCAGATTTAGAAATGACTCAAACAGAGTTCCAGTCCGCTTGGTAGTATGCTGAAGGATCTAAGTGAAAAAATGTTATTAAATGGGAAGAGCTCAGGTGTGGCTCTTTACCAGTAAGTAAAGCAAATGAGCAAAAAAAATATTGACAGCCTGCAATATGCAGATCAACAAGATTCAGTAGGTACAACATTATCACATATAAAACATGATTTCCGGGATTTGACCACCCTGGACGCCTGTCCCATTTTTGCTGTCCTCAGAAGCGGTGAAATAAAAGTTAACAGTTTCTTCAGCAGAATCTTTGCTATCTTCTGCTTGAACACAGACCTCAGGAAGACCCTGTCATAAATGAAGTTCTTGGGAGACAGCCTTTACAATTTTCAAACTAAATACTTTGCTCTAAAAAAGCTTTGACTTAGAAAGAACATACGTCATGGCCAAAATGGCTTAAATCTTTTCCTTCTACAACGACGGAAGCAGTGTAAACGACATAGGCTTCAACCTGCAATTATCAGTAACTTGAAACAAAGATGTGGTGGAAGTTCCTGCTCAACCTAACTTTAAGCTGTCCAAGGCAACTGATCCTCAGCAACACATCTTTCCTAACATTTTCAACCTTGAAGTAGTGTTTTGTTGCCAAAAGTCTCAAAATTTCTGACTTGTCTTCCGTCAGGAACAATCTGGTTATTCAAAATGTGGGAAACTAATTTACTCAGGGGAATTTTTCTCAAGCGAAGCAGAAACTGGAGGGTAAACAAATAGAACTTCGTAGAAGTAAGGGAAGACAATGAAAAAGTCAAATAGAAATGCTGCTGCAACAATTTTAGTTCACATGCACTAAAACTTTTGTGTTTCTACAGAAGATGCAACGTAAATGTTGTACCCTCCAAAAAAAAAAACACTTCACCAGGTTCCAGTTACTTACCTGAACTGGAGTGTTGAAGCGTACTGGAAAAGTGCAAGGTTGGCCAGAAGAACTAAATGAAGTTTCGATACTTCCTAAAACCTCCTTCCTTTTCTTAATTTCCATTTTGACCTTAAAAAGACATGTAAACAGCCAGTAAGTTGAAATTAACAAAAGCCAGTAAAAAAGAAGAGCAACTCATCATCGAGAATAGAGAAAAACAAAGAGAAAAAACATCAATAATCGATTACTCTTGATAACTGTGAACTCATACTTTGTATTCAGAAGGACCTGAGCTACTGCCGTACAACCCGTAGCCAGCTACAAAAATTCGACGATCTACAAGAAACTGAATGCTATCACAACGCCCGAAGTAGCGCCACTGGTTGCTTCTAAAGTGTATATTGGTTCCAATTTTGGCCGCGCAAATAAAATAAACTAATTGTCTTGAAATCTGACCCGTGCAGAGTTCCTTGAAAACGACTGCAAACTAGAAGCGATAATCCCTTCCTTGGTGAAGAAAAGAAGGGTAAACTTGGTTTATTTCGAGCCAAAAAGAAGTGGAATATGTCGTTTATTTCCTAAAATGCTATAAGTTGTTAACAAAAAAATGAATCTTTGACAAAAGAAAAATTTATGCTGAGATTTTACTTTAAAAAGTATAATTTTCTGCCGAAAGAATTAATATCGTGAGACATTACAGAAAATTCCGCATTTCAGTACTCGAAGTGACAGTAGCTTACCTGGCAAGAAAGTAAATTGGACTTTTCAGATTCATTTGCGAAGTCAGATATAGTCATAGCTGGAAAGCGGATAGAAAACATTGCACTACCAAGGACATTACGAAAATCACTTGCTGTCGGGTTTAAACCTCTTCTTAAATTACAGAACCCATGAAAATTTTTCCAATATACACTAAACTACAGAAGTTTCAAAAAAAGCTCCAATGTTCCGAGTAAAAAACCAGTGGTATTTTATTCCCTCTTAAAATTTTTAAGCAGAAAGTTCAAAGTTTTAAACTGACCGTTTACATTCCGCCTTGGCCCATTTCATTGCTGCCTCATAAACACTCCTTTCAGTAACTATCAGTGTTTCTCGAGAAAGTATTTGTAGCAAGAGAGAGTGATCTATCTCAGTAAAACCATCTGATGTTAGCACTTTTTCTGCATTTGCATCTACTACCTTCCAACACCTTTGAAAGAGTCGTAACTAATTCGGGAACTTTCCGTAAATTCCATTAAAACATTGACTGGCATAAATTTCTTGAAAAAATAATGCTCAAGGTATTAATCCCACCAAACGAAAATCGTATAAAATTAAATTTCTTTCCTACAAAGCTCGAGATAGCTAATCTACCTTGTCATCAGTTCATCCTCCTCAAAAAGACGTCTTTGCATTAGTAACGAACAGACACTGCCGGCATTCAGATTTGCGTCCATAAATTCAATTGCAGCATTATAAAGATATGTTATCAAATACTTTTTCGCAACATAAAGAGTACTAATAACGTTATCAGGCTGTAGATTGATTTCATCCGTATATAAATATCTGAAAGGTTTTTATTGACGCACTCTTTCGACAAAAGTGAGTGGAAAAAATTTTCAAAGTGCATCCGACTCACTGTTCAACAGTAGCGAAAAAAAATAACGAACTATAAACCACCTAAGCAATGTTTTAAAAGCTCCAGGTTCTACATCTGGAACTGAGATTTCAGATCTATGTTCAAAGCCACTGTGAAACATAGCAGCAAAGGGAGCAGAGGCGACAGAAAGAATGAAGGAATGTGCAGGAATCCGTTCTTGGTTCTAAAATAGACCTAAAGATACAACCTGCTTCAGTTTTCAAAAAATATCGCAATGTAGAAGTCACATTCCACAACAACTTACAGGCTCTGTGCCAACAAGGAAATAAACATCAGCGAGCCACTCATTTAAATACATGGTTGAAATGCGTTCTTTAATAGTCGACTTAAAGTCCCCATGATCTCTAATAAGGACTAAATTATACAGATTAGAAACACCAAAACCGACAAAACAGTTGTGCACTATAACAAGTTGGTAAAGAAGTCATTCAAAAAGGAACATCTATACAGGAAAACGAACTGTGAAAAATGCCTGCAGACAACAAAGTCTACACAAAACTTATTCTCAAGCCAAAAAAACCTGAGACGAGGGCTCTGAGCAGGAAATCAATGTATTTCCGTAAATGATTCTTTAAAAAATTTTTGAGAACAATTTATTTAGCCAGCCTTAATTCTATGTAAGAGATTCGCATAAGAGTAAATTATACACCAATAATGAACGAGTTATGTAGAAAACTAAAAATATTACGTGACTTTTTCCTAAGAGGGCGAGACAATGTTCCTCCTACCGAGATTATAATACTACTGCAGTCCTTTTCACCAAAGTCCCTGGAACGGTCATCGCGGAATACAGGCTGCACCTGTAAATTTTGTGCGTTTGTGTAAATCACCTAAAAGAAAAGTTTTTCGTACGTATGAAACATCAGAACTAAATACTGGCAAAAATATTAGAACTCAATTAAAATCAGAAAAAATAATAAAAAATTATTGGACCTGCTGATTAGCAAACTCGGTGCAGCTGCGCGAGTCAACGAAAACTCTATCATTCGCACTACACGAATGGATACGCTGCGCAATCTGTAGATAATGACACTGATTATCTGAACGATCTTCTTTTAGTGCGAACTCATCAGAACTTTCCAAAGCTAAAAAAGTGGCTTGTTACCGAGTAATTTAAAAAGAAATATATTTAGAGCTTGTGTAGAAGCACGAAAAACTGTAATTAAAAAATATTGGTCCTTTGCCTAAAAAACAATGTTCCAAACATTTACCAAAGACCAGAAAAAAAGCTCCACAATTTTCTAGCAAAACGGTAATCAGTGATCGATCTGACAAAAATATTAACTCGCGGAAGAAATCACCGATGAAGAGATTGCAATAAAAAGTGAATTATAAAGGAATATGTTGCCTTTACAAAGATTTTATTTTCTAGTAAACGACTTACAAACAAGTATTTAATTGTAATTAGATGACAAAATGGAAAGACATGTTAAAGAAGAGTCACCTTTTGACACCAGTAATCATATTATCAAGTTAATAACTGCTTAACAAATCAATTCAGAAAAAAAAACACTTCTTTAAAAAAACTGTTGAAATTGGTAAAAAAAATTAATCCCATAGTCGATAACAATGTAAGACATGAAATAACTTTATGACAAAAATCTTTTAAAGTGATAAACTTACGTGGAGTCGACATTATGACTACAGCACCAATGCAGCTAATCACCGTTTTTTTTTCTTCCTACATTCTGTTCAACAATACGAGTTTTTCAAGACATACAAATGACTGTTAGAATGAGAAATACATAATTTTCCTGAAATAAATTATGTGAAATAAACAAAAAATCATTCAACAATTTTTCCAAGCAAAAGTGATGGAACAAAACTGAACACATTTCTTAACAGAAACAAATGGCCAGATCAAAAATGCAGTCCATAAAAGAAGTCTATCAGCTGTTTATGTTTTAAAAAAAAAGCAGTCATACTTAAAATTGTTTTTTATACAAAAATAAAAAAAGAAATAAAAAAACTACAGTCAAAAAGAAAAAAAAAGGAAAAAAGGAAGTAACACGACTTCTTTTTGCTCATTTAATCTACGCTCGAACATCTTAGATGAACAATAAATGTGAGTGGAATAAAGCAGTTAAATGTGTAGAAAAAAAAAATAAAGAATTGAGATGAATTAGTTACATTTACAAATTTGTTAGATGTACAATAAAATTTATGGTCATTAGCGAGCAACCATTTGGCTCTCCGTTGAGTCCATGACCGCAACAATAACAAGCAGCACAATGACGACCGATCGTCGTCGTTGTTGTTGTTTTAGCTGTTATTAACGTTGTCGTTGTCGCCGTGGCTGGTATCGGTTAAGGTACAAAAGGTGGAGAGGTGGAAGGCGAGATGGAAATGATATAAATTTGGAAAGATGCCAATGTCTGACAGCAATGATCATTGCCAAACTTGCAGAACATCCAACACTTCCAATGTGCGTATCGTCATCTGCCCCGTTGTTTCCAAGCGTCCACTGAGGCGCCCTGTCCAAGGGATACGTCGGCTTGATCTAATTTTTTTAATTTGTTTTTCTCGTCGATAACCGTCGCTTGTTGGTGGATGAATTATTTGATCCTATTAATTGCTGTCCCCCATATGCTCCGTCTACTTTTTTGTGTTTTGTAGCTGGACCGATGCTGATGATGACGATTGACGTGGAGTGAATTACGGTAGTGGTTGTTGTCTTTTTCAAACTCCGCATTTTGATCGTTTCATCGTTCTTTGTTTTTAATTTTTTTC